TATGGATGGCTTTTTTGATCTCACTGTTGAGAAATTTGACTTTTCATGATATGGTGTGGTTTCATAAAATGTTCAGCCGTTCGTGTCCTGTGTGGAAGATCGCCTCTCATTTCCAAATAAGACATTATTTTCGCTTAAAAACAAGCACGTTGTAAACAAAAGACCCCATTCTTTCGCTATTCTTGGTAGAATTTTCTCAAATATCTTTTGATCTTGAACAAAAATTGAGGCATTTTCAAGAGTCTTTCATTCCCGCCTTTTTATGAAAAACGTCAACTTTCATGCGTTGCCCGCGATATACGTGCGGTCAGCGCCAACAAATGTCCCTGCTGTTCCGCGACATTAGGTTCCAGGCGCGCGCGCGGCCAAATGCCGTTGTCAAGGAGGATTTTCCTCTTAGCAACAAAATGGCGGTAAATTCAAACTTTTTTCCGTMTGAGAAAATGCGTCAAAAATTGATTTTTTCAATTGCACTTAAAGTGAAGAATACTGGATAATGGTAAGTATTTTGTTTTTCATCCGTTGTTTATCTTGTTTTAGCCTAAGACTTTATTTTATGAATAAAAAAACCATTCAAAAGCCATATCGTATCCCATTCACGGCAAAGCCGTGTCCGAAACATTGCTTAATTGTTCCCGCTGTAACATAAGTTGAGAGCAAACTTTTGATAAAAAAACATAAACAAAATGTTCTTTATTACAAGTTTTCATTGAATAACGTCTATTTCTTTTATGAACTTTTTTTTTCGTTGACTTTTGTCTTTATTTTCTTCATCAATTTACAGGCAAGTCAAATGGAAGCGACACGTAAATTTCACGAAGCTGAGCTCGAGAAATCTTGCCGTGTTTGTGGTTGCAACATAGGAAAAAAATACAAATATGCAATAAAAAATATCAAATTGCGACGTAAAATTTACGAAACATTTTCTGTCGAAACATCTAACGATGATAGTGAAATTCATCCACAATACTTGTGCACTTTGTGCTATGCAAAAACAAGTAAATTCGAAAAAAATGCCGAGTCGTACGTTCCAACAACGGAGATTGTCGAGTGGTCAACTCATAACCAAACAGATTGTTCTGTGTGCGAAATGTTTTTCAAAAGAAACCTTGGTCGTCGAAAAAGCAAAGAAAGAAAAGGAAGGGGCAGGCCAAGCACCAAAAAAGGGGAAAACACACACTCGAGTGAAAGCTCAAAACCACCATTCGTCATTGATGAAACTATAGTGCCAGATGCCTTCGTCGAGACCATGCCAGCGCAATGTAGATTTGTACAACTGAACGAAGAATTAATGTGTCCTATATGCCGCGAGGTAACAACAATCAACTCATTATCCTTTTCTATTCACTGTTTTATAACCGATTCCTGATAACTTAACTTATTTATTAATGTTTATACAGATTCTAAACAGACCATTACAAAGCCAGTGTGAACATCATTTTTGCTATGAGTGTATTAGAAACTGGGTTGAAGTTGCAKGTGGAGATTCCGGCTGTCCCGTCTGTAAAGATCCTTTATTACTTCGTAAGCCSCCACGGTTATTAATGAATCTACTATCGTCAAGCATARTAGAATGCAGGAGTTGTAAAAGTCCATACCCTTTGGAAAACCTAGACAGTCACGAGAAACTCTGTACCAAGTTTGAAATATGCCGTAATAAGACTTCCGTATCAGACAYACTGGAAYAGCCATCATCAAAACYATTGTCGTCACAAGAGRAAATACTTACCACCCATCTAATGAAACGGAAGATAACAAACTCGACGWCTGAGAATTTATTTCTACGTACTGGTGGGACAGTAAGTTATAGCAAGCACATTGAAAAGATATCTTCTTATCAGTGGAAAACTGACCGTATTATAATTTATCAGTATTACAGAATACGAATACTGCTGCATACCACTTCAGTCAGCTTTTCACTTAACCTTTCTAACTGCTTTACGTGTATATAATTTAAATCAGATTTTAAACAAAGATTAAATTTCTTATTTACACATACAATGTTTGCTTATTGTAGCCCATAAAAGTATCTGTTGTAAAAAAACCAAAAGTTGGGAGTAGCTTCGCTTCCAAGAGAACATTACAAAGAAGAACATCTGAGATACAAAACTACAGAGCAGTCGTAAGTGGTAGTGACAAAACGGACGTTTCCGCACAGTATTCTCAGGAGATGTCACAGTTAAATAAAAAGGAGCGACAAAAAATCATCAGAGATGCTGGAATAAGGTTGGAGGTCGGGGCGGAGGAAGGAGTGGCAATGAAGACAGACCTTGGAATACCCTGGAACAAAATAAGACACATAAGAAGGTTTGAAAGATTGCATAAATTCCTTTTATAAAACAGTAATAATAAAGTAAAAATTCCTTGATTTAGGTGGCTGTCGTCATGGGGACTTGACTTATCAAGTGAAAAAAAATTAAGAGGAATTGCTGATAAACAGGTGAGTGATTTTACAAATTTTCAGAGAATAAAATATAAAATATGCATTATTATAATTCATGTCATATATTCATTTTTTTTTTTTTTCATTGTTTATATTCATTTTTAAAAAAACAGAAACTAGTAGAACTTCATTCTGAGAATGTCCCATTTGAGTTCAGCAAAAAAGGTGGTGGGAGGGAAGTGAGATTGGCTTCATGTGTACAGGTACTAACTCTGAAGGAAATGGTTTTCAATCATTTGGAGGAACATAAAAAGTGAGTAACTGTTGTTTCTTATTTATTATATTTTAGAATTGACTGTTGTGATAATCATTTAAAAAAACTCTGAATTGCTTAAATTATAGATATGGAGATCTTGTTTGGCATGATGGTCTAATTCCCAGCAAAGAAATATGGCTAAAAATTGGTGGTGATAAAGGGGGTGGCAGTTTTAAGATGGTTTTTGAGATTGGAAATTTAAAGAACCCCAATTCTACAGAAAACACATGTATTTTTGCAATGTTCAATGCTTCTGATACACCATACAACCTGTCAATTGGACTTCAAGGCTTTAACATTACAGTTAAATGTTTAAATGGACATAAATGGAGGTATAAATTATTCCTAGACATTTATGATCCTTTACATTCCTAATGCGAAACAGGTCCATTTCCATAATCATTATACATGCGTATTTCTATATACAGGGAGTGGGAAATAAAAGTGTTTATATTTGGCGATTATGCCTTTCTTTGCACTATATATGGTCTTTCTGGAGCAAGTGGTAAGTCACCCAAATTATAATTCAGTAAATATACCATATTTCAACAGTATTTTACTGGGTATGAACAAAGTTCATGCAAGTGACCAAAATAGGATTTCCCAAATTGAACTAAATGCTCATAATGAGTTTTTAAAATTGAAACACACAAATCCTTTGCAGGTAAACACTTCTGTTTATGGTGTCTAATTAGTCAAGAGGAAATATCAATTCCATTGAGTGAGAGAGGGTATAAAGATAAACGAACTTTACAAGGTATCTGAAAATTGCTTTTTGTTTTTATATGTAATGACTAGCAACATACACTCAAAATAGAAAATGTATTGGTTTTATTTATGTTAAGGGATTGTTGACGACAATAATAAATTCCAAGCTGGAGGAGCCAAGCTTAAGAAAGCTAAGTTATACAACAATGCCATTAGACAGCCCATGTTTGCAATACCAATAGATCAGGTACATTAATATCAAAGAAAATTCATAATATTAATCATTACCTYTAATGCACTCATCACAATACTTTTAGGTTTGTCCACCAGCTCTYCATATAAGCATTGGGATTTTTAATAGACTGTTTGATTTGTTCGAGCAATCACTTGGGATACTTGATGTTAAAATTGCCCATTCTTTGGCTGAAAGAAAAGAAATGGTAAAAAAAACTATAAGCATTTAAGAGGCTGTCCACGTAAGAACGGATAAGGCAAATTTCGGTCCCTCACCGATTTTTCTAATTTTTTCGTCAAAAGTCAACAATTATATACTATGAAATATTATCGCGTTTATTTGGAACAATTCGAATTTTTAGGGACTTTTTGAGACGATTTTCGACAACAGCCTAAAACTTGCAAATTAACCATCGGGAAACCTGTATTCAAACAATGTATTCGAGTCGCCGCTAAAAATTTACTATTTATTGAAATCAACTCAAATTTTCACAAATCAAATTTACAACTTATGGCTGTAATTCAAAGTGTTTCTATCTCAATTTGATAAAAATTTTGAAAAATATCAAATACTTTGAAAATATGCATTAAAATTGTAAAACGTCCGAGGCGCTAAAATACCCGAATTCGAAGGCGATTTTCTCGAAAGTGGGACTTAACC